ATTCGACTGTATTCGACGTACCTCCTGCGGATTCTTGGTTGGTTCTTCTCCTGATTCAGTTACATTCACCTTCATATTTTTACATAAGAATAGATCAGTTCTGATCAATTAAAATTATTGGATGACTTTCAAAAGCTTTCATCATACCTTATTCACAATCTTTTGATTTATTAAAGTTGACAAAGCATCAACTTTTTTTCCAAGCACTTCAAACCTCTTTCTTTGTTCTTCTGCAATGTTATCAATTTTCTTTGACATTCGATCAAAGAGTTCTTGAAAGGTATTGGATGAAGGCTTGGCGGGGTGAGGGTTAGGAGACGATGGATTTGGGATGTTGGAATGAGAGACTCTAGAAGGAGATTTCCTAAGGCTCTGACTCCTCTAAGATTCTTGGGGAGAGGAGATGTGCTCATTACGCTCTTCAGAATTATCTCTTGTTGGTGAAGGGACATTCCGGGCTTTTCTCTTCCTCTCCACCAGAATGTGGACTTCCCCTCTACACTCTAATTTTGCCACAAATGCATCCAACTCGGGGTGTTTTGTGGTCTCTAGATGATGGAAGTTCAAATACCACTCTGCAGTTGCCTCAAACTTGTCGGGAACAAGAATGGTCTTTAGAGACTGTAACCAAAACAATGACACTTTATTTTTGGAATTTATTAAATTTTAATCTTTTACTGACCAATAATATGTATATACCTGCACGTCCCCAACGTAAGCATCCATTTCTGTGTGGGTGATTTTCTTCTTTATTGGAATCTCACCCCAAAGGCAGATTCTTGGCCTAGCTGGGGATGTCTGTGGGCTTCTTGTTGTAATATTTGCTCCGGTCCCCAAGCAACTCTCCAGAAAAAGGATCTTTTCATATGGAAAGTTTCAATAAGATCACATTTCAATAAAAATTATAAGAAATATTATAATTGAATCCTTACCCCAATGGGAAGCAAGAAACCAGTATAGTACATGGTTGATGAGGCCCCTCTTCCAATTGATTTGGCCTTAGCAGCTAGGTCTTTCCTCAGTGACCCCAAGGACTCCATAAATGCCCAGGTTCCCCATGGGAAACCTAGAACTGCTGTCCACTGTGCAATCATGCCCAGAATCCAATCTGGAATTGCAGAC